GCAACAGAGACACTCTGGTTCCTGGGGGGATTCTTTTCCCAAAGAATTGGAGATTTGAAGTCTTGGTTTGATAAAAATCAATGACTTTCAGGGCAGTGTATCTTTAGATGTGGGTGAAAGATAGGGTACATAATAAAGGAAGAATTGTTAAGCAGGGGGGAGGTGAATACAGAAAAAATTCTTAAGAAAAATTGCAACCTTTTTCCCTATAATTAATTATGCCAACATGTGGGCTATGGCATAATTATATATGTATATTTATATCTCTGGGAATTTCAGAAATAGTAAATGAAACAATTTCTTTTTATTATTGAACTCTTTTGGGAAGATTATATGGTTTCTCTTATGTGTATTTATACCAGTATTTTATGGTTCAAATGAATAAGATCCATCTCATATTTTTTCATTGTATATAACAATGTGCTATGTACACAGGAGTGATTAAAACACTGTATGACTGCTTGCATTACGTATCCATAAAATATTACTACTAATGGAAACTGGGGGCAGGGTTCCTTTGTTCCATTATTATCAGATAACTTGACCTTTTTTCTATTGATCGCTATGCTTGCATTTGCCCATTTAAAAATATTTCAGCTAGCAAGCTCTTACATATACTTAGCAAACAAAACTAGTTAGTGTTATTCTTTCAAAAACACAGAAACAGTCAAATAAATGAAATTAAGCCTAATTTATTCAACATTTGTAGATATTGTCATTTAGGTTAAAAGCAAGCTACTGTTTTCAAGGTGACTATAAACTTGAATCATATTTCTAATTATTTTAACAATAGTCCTTGTAGAAGTTTCCTCTAAAATATGTGTGAGTCTCAAATATAATAAAAGTAAAACAAATAATATGAATGTATGCTGTTTTATTAAGATCACTATAAATGACATATGCTGGAAAATATATACTTTATTTTCCTTAAACTTCACTGTTCAAGAACTTTGAAATGACAGCTGCTACTATAAAATTAATTCTGTTCTTCTGAATATGTAAGCATTTAAAACAATATGAAAACAACCGTTGAACACTTAAATTTAGACATTGGAAAACAATTACTACTAATAGAGTTAATTTTAAAACACCTCACTTGAGCTATTGTGTATATATTTAAATGGGATTTGGCAGGTGAATTAAATATTTATTGATCTCTGTTTAGATTGCTACAGATTTGCTGCTTCAACAAGGTTTCAAACTAGGCTTGAATCTTACAGAACAAATTGAACCATGGAATCCTTTCCTGGCACTGCAACTCCTAAATGACAAGTATCATAAGCCAGGGCTCAGCGAGGCTCTAAAGTGTATGCAGAACAGCTGTTGCATTCTGTTGCAGAAGCTCATAGAGAAAAAAACAAACACTTTGGGGCAGAAAAATTGGCTACGAAGCTTCAAAAAACCAACTCATTTCTATAAACAATAGGGAATATCTATCTGAATGGATACTTAGAAGAATTGTGTACTCGCTACTTCTGGATTTCACTCTTAATGTCTCCGTCCAGTGAGAACATAGAGATATGGAATATTAAAGGCACCGGTAAGATGTTGTGTGATCTGTCAGGTTAGAAACTGATGCCGGCCCAGGCCTCACAAAGTGTCTGAAACTTTTCTTTGATTATTTTAAATTACATATTCCACATGGAGAACACTTGGTTTTCATGAGACAAAGTTTCTGCACAAATGACCATGACTAAAAAGATAAAATATATGTTAAGACACATAATGAAGAGACCTACGAAGCCTCACATGGGACAAGGACATGTTAAACAAATTAATTACACAGAATTATAGTTAGTGTATCCTTTTAGGAATTTATATTAGGAATATTAGGAATGAGGCCAGAGACCAGCAACAAAACTGCTAACATCTAACATGTGCTTTTCCCTTCCTCACTCAGAGTTAGCATATGAAGACACAATAACAGGGTTGACTTGAGAAGCTAGAGGGCTTGGAAATTCGAAATCATAGACCACCCACCAGGAACTAGAGTGATCTCAGGCTTCACAGTAGTGTGAACACTGTTTTTACTTTCCTGAAGGTGTCCAGTGTTCAGGTTACAGCTGTATTTTCAGAGAGTAGGGAGAGTCACATCAACAATGGTAGAAAAAAATATTTCAATAATTGGTTAAACTACCTGAACAGAGAATGCCCAATTAGGCTATGAGATATCAGAGGCTACCTGCCCAACCTGAGATCCACTAATCTATCAGCTGTGTCTCATGAAAACCTCTGCCTGCATCTGTTGCAGTTCCAGAAAGGCTTCAGGGAGTATCAGATAAGCCCTCGGGGTCATGCAAGATCAAGCATTTACAGGAGGCTATTCTGTCTCTGTGGCTCTGTGTTTCTGTCTCTGTGGCTCTGTGTTTCTGTCTCTGTGACTCTGTGCCTCTCTCTCTCTCTCTCTCTCTCTCTCTCTCTCTCTCTCTCTCTCTCTCTTCTTTTTTCCTCTCCTATTGATCTACTGAGTACTGGCAGACCTCAGTGTGGGATGGTACAGCACATTCTCATTTACCCCTGTCAATTTTCCAGTCTCTTCCCACTGATACTGTCTCTTAGGGAAAGCCCAGAGGGAATTTCAAAAGCTGTTTTCCTTACAGCATGGCTGTAGGAAGAGATGGGCACTCCATAAGCTCTGAGCAGGATTTAAAAGTTTCATTTAATGTAATTTTTAAAATGAGGGGCAGAGAGAGAGCCAAAGGCAGGGTGAGCAAAGGAGCAGTGTGGGGCCTGGAAATGTGGTCGCTGTGTGGCCATCAGGGAACAGGGAGTGTAAAAAGCTTCTTGCCTCATCTAAAAACCCAGAACCACTTGGCATTTCTCTAAATAACAAATGGACCTAAGGGCTAGAGAGAAGGGCTGTTGTCAGGAAATATTCCCTAGGGCTATATGCATTTCAAATCCTGTGCATTTTCTTATAATGCACAGATTACGAAGCTGTGCTCATGTTTCTATGGACCTAATTTTGCAGGTTTTGTTTTGTCTCACAATCAAAATTTCTGAAGATAAAAGAATATATCTGAAGAGTTGAGAAGAAACAGTCAATTCAATGAAAATAAACTATAAACTTTGCTTCTGGGGTGCTGGGAAAAAGAAAGGGGTATGAAAAAGGATTAAGATAAATGAGCTAAAAGAGAGTGGAGGTCTTCAGTCTTGGGAAGGCCACTGTCTTGACTTTTAGGATTCCTATTTTAAATGAAAACCTGTTCTCTATAAACAACTTAAAATTGATCTGAAGATTTGAAGCATCTCCCTATGTCTGAAGCTGGCTGAAAGTACGCACTTCTGCAGAGTAGAGAACAAAGCAACAATCCTAGAAACTCTTACTGATTTGTGTTTAATTCCAGATTAGAGTACTGAACTCAGTGGTGTGCTAATAAATCTCCAGGAAGAAGGTTTCTCCGTGGATGTTGCAGCTACATACCCAACTAAAATGTTGTTTGTCCCAGGGTAAGTCCTTGAACTGTTTTCTCTCTTTGAAATATGGAAGCAGCAGATTAATTTGACACCAAAGAAACTATCTACAAAATAAGATTCCATTTCCTTCTCTATGGATTGACAAAGGCAAACTGTGTGCTGTGACTGTTGAATGTATCCCTCCCCAAATATGAAGAAAAACAATAACAACAACAAACGCCTTTACCTGTTGAAGAGATAAAAATAAGCAAAACTTCACATTCTTATTTTTTTCTAGTCTGACATTATTAACATTCAGAAGATTGTAATTATTGCCAAGATTTACTTTGAGAGTGAAATAGATACTTGATAGTCTGACGGGAATGCAAACCTCTTGAGCCCAATCCTGGAATCACTGTCACTGATGTACTGCTTTCTGAGTAAATGAGATACTTTATTATTATTTAATTTTAGCTTCATAGCTGCTGTTTTGAAGTCTTTGGAATTTCAATTGCTATAGTGTCTTAGTGACTTTTATTTTCTAGAAAATATTTAAGATCCTACCCTAGGCATAAATGTAAATTGCTCACAACCTTTCAGTTAAGGTTAAGCCTGAAGCTTTCTTTCCGTTGGGTTATTTTCATAGGCACGGGTTTCCAGGCCTTTCTTTCAATACAGCTTAACTTCTGAGCCCTAAATATGCCTACCACCATCGGTAATGCTACTCTGGTTCAGCTTCCCAATTCTTTGTAAACTCATTTCAGGCGTTCAGCACCTCGGCTAACTCCTCTGGACCCCTGGCCTTGCCTTGGCTATTCTAAATTTTAAAAAGCAGACTAGATCATTCTCTCTCTCTCTCTCTCTCTCTCTCTCTCTCTCTCTCTCTCTCTTTCTGTGTTTATTTTTAATTGATCAATAGGAACTGTATGTTTTTACGGTGTACAAAGTGATGGGTCATTACATGTACACATTGACCTGTGATCAAATCAGGCTAATCGGCAATCCATCACCTCAAGTATTTATCATTTATTTGGATGCCTCTTTTAATCTCGTCCTGTATCTAGGAAAGACAACACATGTCATGCTTTACTAACAATGGTTTACCCCAGGGAGTGTCAGCGTCATTATGTACTTTAGCAGCTACTTTTCCTCTCATTTTATAATTTTCTTTTTCTGCAGCAGCACCCCAGTGCCGCCTTGTTGACATGGATCAGAGAAGAGACGCCCTCCCTAAAGGCTGGCCAAGCAATCTTCCTTTCATTAGCGAGTAACCCCGGGTTCCCACCCAAGGCTGGGTCGAAGTATTAGCTTCCCGAAGGAGCTCTCTTGTCCTCTCACCTACCAGAAAGCTGGGACTACATGAAATATGAAATAGTAAATACAAGAGCAAACAAAGGTTGCTGCCTCCAGGAAGGCTCAGGGCCTGCGGCTTCTCCAAGTCCCGGTTCATGCCTCAGGCCTGTCTTGCACCCCAACCCCCTCCAAGGAATCTACAGGCGAGGTGCAGCTTTCCAAGGCGAATGCCCCACCAGGAACCAGACTCCTCACTGTAGTCTGTTCCTTTCTGCCAGCGGCGTAGAATGACCACCAGGAGGCCAGGAACAAAACACTTAAATGTTGCATTTATTAAGGAAATGTTAAATAAGAAAGAAGAAAAAAGTCAAAATGGTGTCACGGATATCAAGAGCACTTTTGTGGCGTAAACCGTGCAGTTACGAGCTATGGGTTCTATTCTGAGTCTGGGCTTAGCAGAAGCCCCAAAAGACTCATTTGGAAATGCTCTAAAAGAAACAACTTCACCCCATTCACATTAGCAAGCTCCCCCTCCCCCACCCTGTCTCCCACGGTGACAAAACTCTAACCCTGGCAGGCAGACAGGCCACAAGGGCAGAAAAGACTTATCAAATAATGTACTCAAGCAGACTAACACAAAAACCCTTAAAACAGCACGTTACAGTCAGTCAAAGGTATCAGCTCTCCCCCACGAGGCTGAGGGGAGCAGGAGGGAGTGGGCGCGAATCCGCCCACGGATTTGTGTGTCCCCATTAGGTTTGCTGCGTGGCGAATACACAGGTCACTGTTCCGGTCACCAGGCGATCGGTGCCGCTGGGCCTCTCCCCCACCCGCCCTCTCCAGCTGTCCCCAGTGCTTGGCCCACCTGCAGGTGAAGGGCCTTGGCCTCGTCCGTCTCCCCGCATCCCATGCAAGTAGCAGCTTCCAAAGTTCTGCTCCCTAATCGCCCTCTTTTGCCACCTGCTGCTGAGTCCGGAAGCCAGAGCGCTCCCCTCCTGCAGGCAGGCATGGGGACTTTCAGCGGATGAGCGAGAAATGGGTCGCTCCTCCAGACGGGGAAGTCCAGAGAAATAATTGACTCCGACAAGTTTGCCTCGCCCGGCTTGCACCGGTGAGGGGCGCAGAGAGGCTGGCAAAGTGGGGCGGTGTAGGGGCTTCCGCCGGGAGGGCCGGCGAGCCGGTCAGTAGGGCCCCACGACCACCGCCTCCACCTCTTTAGACGGTCTCCGGTCCTTCACCAGAAAGTTGATCATGCCCTCGGACTTGATGAGCAGGTTGCAGCCGAGGAAGAAGATGCCGAAGACCACCGTGAGCGAGAGCACGCACATCACGGCGATCTGCACCACGCGCATGATGTACAGGCTGCGCTCGTCCGGGCCGCTCTCGGCGAAGCCGTCGTCGGTCACCACGGAAGCCTGAGTGCAGCAGCGCACCGCGCGCTCCAGCGCCTCGCTGCTGTTGGCCAGGAGCAGGCCCGCCACGTCGGTCTGGTTGCCCGGCACCGGATTCATCGCGGAGCGGGCGGGCGGGCGCCCGGAGGCGCGGGTCTGAGGCTGAAGGCGGAGGCGCGAGAGGAACAGGTGCCGGGCTGAGCGCTCACTCGCAGGCGCACGGGGCTGTGCCTCAGTGCTCGGCCAAGTCCCCGGCCGCGAGTTTCTCGGGAGCCTCCGCGGCGCGCGCTGAAGCTCGGCTGGTCTGCGCTGTGCGCTCCAGCCCCGGCGGTGCTCGTCCCCGGCGCTCGCTCAGCTGGGGGCTGTTGGAACTTGGCGGGGCTGGGCCAGCGGGGCGGTGGGAGGTGCGGGCCTCGGCGGAGACTGCTCCGAGCAAACAGCGCCCCCTTCCGGCCGCCGAGCGGCCCTGCCTGCGCGGGCTGCAGTTGCGTGGTTCTGGAAGCAAAGGGGCGAACGCTCTGCCTGCGTGTGTTCCCTCTTTGGCCGCTCCTAGGCCAGGCCGAGGTCACTGACGTTTTCTGCCTGAATGGATCTAAGCACTTTGTGGAAGGTGTTAGCAACCAATCGAAAGTTTTGGAGCAGGGTCTCACTACCTGTGTGTCCTTTCCTAAGGAAAGGAACCCCAAGTGTCACAAGGGGAAGGCACCGGCTGCTGCCTGCCTGACTCCTGTGGCTTCCAAAGACTTTCTAGTGGAGTTTGGGGAGGATCTGGCAGTTTTAGCTTTGTTTTAAACATGAAGAAAGGAAGAAGGAGAGGCTAGGGGGAGAAGGAAAGAAGTGCAAAAGGGAAAAGAAAAGAAGAAAGAAGAGCCACATTTTTTGTGCCCCTTTACAAAGCAATTGTCAGACAGCACAAAGATTTTGTAAGGATTTTTAAGGCCAAGAAAAGACGTCAGAGGAAGCAGATGCTCTTCTGTGACCTTTGCATGGTCGTGGTGGGCAGGAGCGGGGTCACCTCTCCCTCCGGTAAAGGAGTAGTCAGAGTAACCACTTGCTCATAATTGTAATTGCGGAGGAGTTTTTGGATGTGCTTCCACTGTTTTCGTCTGTTGGCAGCAAAACAGTGGTTTAAGGGAATTACTCATCCGCATAGACTGCCGAAGCAGGCCAACTGCTAGAAGCCCTCCCGGTGTTCCCTGAGAGCACCAGGGTTCACCCTCAGCCACTCTACACCAGAGTGTAGTTGTTACAGGACCCTAACTGAGGCTTTGAGTCCTTATGGTTTTGCTCTTCGTTCTGGTGTCCTTTTACAACCGGTTAGGTTAATTTTTTTTTTAACCCCATCAGGATTTTCCCCTTCCTTTTCAATTTTTTCTCCTTCCTCCCCTCTTTCTTTTGTAACAGCTAGAAACCAATAAGTTGAAACCCGGCAAAACTTTTGATACAATACATTTTCTTAGTTTGTATTAAAACATCCTAGCTGTCTTGGTGTTTCCAACTCTCCTCTCCTTTTTGAGTCCACTCTATTTGCTTGTTAGATCCTTTTTTCCCCCTCTAAGTATCATTTATTCATGCTTAGAAGTTTCATGAAACGCTTTTGCACTATTTAACGACCACTGCAAAATACAATGAATGTCAAATTAGCAGTTTTCAAGTTTGAAATTTTATTTTACATCAGCTTCAAGAAGTCAGGTCTATCATAGCTGTGTGATTCCCAGGAAGAGAAATGAAAGTTAGAAACCCAGGCTTCTGGGCCTCCTTCACAAGCCACTTGGGTTACTGCTGTAATTCCCCGCAGTTCAGTCAGTCCTAAAAGTATTTCACCCTCAACAAATTCTTCTTGGACCTCACTTATTATTACCTAGAATTAAGTTCATAATTAAACCTCACTGTAGTTAGCCCACTTCAGTTAGTACAAGTGATAACTAAGAATAATAAAGCATAATGTACATGTAAAATAATACCAAAAGATAAATAATATAAAGTAATAGTAAAATGAATAGAAAGAGCAAGTAATAGGAATTCAGAAAAGCTAAAGGGCAGAGGGCAGAGGCTGACCTCCAGGGATATTAAGTTGCACAAAACTGTGTGCTTACTAAAAGGTGAGCGTGATTGATCGGTGAGGCACTAGCTGCTTGCTTGTACGACAGTTTACAGTACATTCATTAGGTCCAGTATGGCAGGATGTGAGATACCAAAAACAGACAAACAAACACCCTAAATGTTATTTCAATTATTAATTTTCAGTACATGTATTGCTCTTAGCTACTGTGTTAGTGTGAAAATGATCAAACCAAAGCCAAAAAGAATTTTCATATCAAGTGGAACCTTTAGATCTAGGGAGCACAGTCCCAAAAGAAGTAAAGTAACAGTGACTTTATTTTGTTTTGTTTTTTTGAAAAAGTATGTAATGGCCATTCTCCTATCACCTAAATCAGATCTCTCGTTTTGTTCAACAAAGCATTCCTTTATCCTCTCAGTTCTCTGTTTTGCTGAGTAAAACTGCTTAGAGTATTTAAGTGGACATTAATAAGTTGAGTTGTACAAAAATTGTATTTCTTACTCAATTCTTAATGGAGCAAGCAGTATCTAGGCTTCTAGAACTTTTCTCCTTTACAATTTCTCTATAGTAAATTTTCTTTTTCTTTTGTATTTTGGGTATAGAGTTTTCTCTCCGTTTTACTTGTGTTCTTCACCTGTTTGTTACAAAAAGAAATCATTCAGAAACATCAATATCAAAAACTTCTGGAAAATAGGTGATGATATGTTAAAGGAGGGATATTGATAATTTACTTAAAAGAGAAAGCTTTTGGGGTTTTGGTACATTGAGGGACTCTTTGCTATATGTATTTAACTACTGACCTCTTCTATGTTGAAAGAAGGAAGTTTGGTATTTTGAGAATTAAATTCTCAGCATTTCACTGTGCACACGCGTGAATGTGTGTGTGTTAGGCAAGGACAGACATGTCCATTCTTTCTGGAAGAGTATGTACAACGTATAATAAATTATATACAAGGACATTTCAGGCTAATAGCAGCTGTAACTTTTAGTTTCAATAACTTTGATATAGGACCAGACACTTTCAATATTAAAAGCCTTTTCCTTGATTCTTTATGAATCTTATTAAAGTAATAAGTAGACATTTTAGAAACGTTGAAAAGATACATGTTGCTTTGGGAAAGCATATTTTTTATAATAATACTGTATTTCAAAATATAAGTAGGGAAAACAGTAAGCACTTATAGTCAGAGGTCATCTGTAATTTGTGATTCGGTACTTGAAACACAAGAAAGAAATAATTTGTTGTACCACACAATAGAGCTCATGAAAGCCAAAATCTTAATCTTGCATATTTTACCCTTAGACTGACCCCTCTAATTTTCCCTCAGAACCTAAGCACTTCAATTTTTCATCTTTAACTCTCTTCTTTACCTATTTTTCTTAATGACATTTTATCAATATCAACACGAGTTGAAGAAGAAGAAATAGCTACTGGTGGTTTTTACAATCACCAAGAGTAACATCAGGAGGAAAAAAACCAAAACATTAAGCAGCATACAGAGATTTTCTACGAGCATAGAGTATTAATTTTGAGACATTTAATAATAGAGACAAATATTTTCAGGGGTCCAGGAGTTTAGCTCAGCAGCACAAGCACCTGCCTGGCAAGCCCAAGGTGACGAGTTCGGTCTCCAGTACCATTTTCAGTTGGTAAGAGTCTAGCTAAGTGTGTGCAGGCACAGCTTTGATTCATGGTGTTCTAACTTACTAGTGATGTGTGTTACTTATCTGTAAAAGAGATATTTCACAGGATTTTGAAAAGGGTAATCCATTCTATGAAAATAACGGAATGATATTTAGCAAATACATATTGCAATAGTTCCTGAGAAACACGGTTGTGCCTATACCATTAAAAGAGAAAAAGCAGTATTTTTCATTTTCAAAGTTGCATGGTGCATTTTAGGTGCATTCAAACCATGTATAGTGACTGTATGATGTAGAGAATTGGAACCACTGTGCATTATTTGTGAGAATATGGTAGCCGCTGTAGAAAGTAGTACACTAATTCTTCAAAAAAGATTAAAAATGAAACATACAATTGCCATACAGTCAAGTAACACACACACACACATGCACACACACACACACACACATGCACACACACACACACACACACACACACACACACACACAGAAATCCCCAAAAATATTTCAGATATTTCTATATCAGTGTTTCTAGATTCATTGTTCATAATAGCCAGAAAGATGAAAACAACCCAGATGTCTATCAACAAATGAAGCAATAAGCAAATGTGGTACATACATGTATCATGAAATATTACTCAGTCTTTAATAGGAACAAAATTCTGACATATACTACAGTATGGATGATCCTTGAAGACATTATGCTGTCAGATAACCCAGATACAAAAGGACAAATATTACATGATTCCATTTATGTGAGATACTAAATAGTCAAATTCATAAAGACAGAAAGTAAAGTAACAGTTAACCTACTGGGACTTGGGGAAGAGGAATAACAGGGAGTATTGCTTAATGGGTACAGAGTTGCAGCTGGGAAAGATTAGTGGTTCCAGAGATAATCAGTCATGATAGTCATGATAGTTGTACATGAATAAACATATTGTCAGTGAACCATCTACTCAAAAATTGTTAAAGGGGCAAGCTTTATGTTTTTACCATCACTATCTAAATATCAGACCTAATATAAATATAGAAAGCTTAAAAATACTTGAAAATCAGAAAATAATTACTAAAAGTCATTCATAAAGCCCATAACTGAAATATAACTGATGCTAGTAATATAGAATACATTTTTACCACCTTTTTCTAGACTTCTGCCAATACAATCATGGTAGGGCATAAAGTGTAACTTTATGCCTTATATTTATTCTTTAATATTAAAAACATTACCTCATGATAGTACTTCATTAAATGAATATGTTAATCTTTGTTAAAAAATGATCTGTAACTGAACAATTTTGTCAATCTCAAATATTGTTATTAACTCAATATCATATATGAAACATTGTTTATAAATATTATCTTTATATTGAAGTGATTCACTGAGTTTAATCTCCAAGCCATACCCACAGTAACCCAGCTTCACCTCCCCATATCACACCCAGCTATCAATCAATCAGTGCACTAATCTAACATCACACACCCATGACCCAGTTACCTCCCAAAAGCCCCAGCTAGGAGTCCATGAAGCTTTGGGGGGACGTTTGGATATAAGCCATAGCATCAAGCTTTGTTCTGAGATCATCTAGGTTGGGACTGGGAAGTAACTGCAAACTGATGGAACCAGTTTCCTAAACTTGTTTACTAAATCCATCTACTCGGATTCTTTAA